TACAGCACACCTAGAGCCGCCTCCGTGTCTGTCTCTCCAGCGTGTGGAATGAATCTTGTGGCTCTTGATCCTCTTAGTATTTTGGGAATGTGGTTCATGGAGTCAGGATTGTTGATACTATATAAGCTGTATTGCTTTTGGCTCCAGTTTTAAAATAATGCTTTCTTGCATATTTTTTCTCTGATGCACTGGCTCTTAAACTGTGCAGTTCAATAGAAAGAGATTTAGCAGTTTTCTCTTTATATTACTTAGTGACACAGAAATATTTAGTTTAGTGATTTAGTGAACTGCATACGGGGCTAGACTAATCTGGTTCCTCTCCGTATCACCCAAAAGTCTTCAGAAAAGGTTGGCATTTGGATTTTAGCATCGTGTGTTCCATCTTGGTCTGCACAGGTGCTTGTGTTTCTCACAACAGTGAAGAGTGGTACAATAGTCCTTTAACACTTAGGCCTAGATTTGATGCAGTCAGACTGAGTGATGCCAAAAAGGAGTGCCCAGGTCTGCTTCAGTTACCATCAGGGTAGAATAAGGAAGCCAATCCACCTACTTGGTACGATGAGCTTTGTAGCTGAATTATGGATGGAAAGTTTTCTAAATCCAGAAAATAAGATTCGTTTCATCTGTTAGCCTTTCTCATAATAATACAGACTCTTGAAATTTTCCTGTTCGTACTAGCATATACATACATGCACAGTGTGCATGTAATGTGTGTGTATCTCTATATAGTGCATGTATATATAAAGGTAGTGTGTGCGTATAGGTAGTATACGTATGAGTGACTCCTAAAGGAACTACCAGATAATCTTTCCACAGTATTTCAGCATTTCTGATGTGTTTCACATAAGCTCATGCATTTTCTGGAGAGCTGTTAGAGCAGTATGGACGTTGCCAGAGAGCAGAGATTGCAACGTGGTCAGCTCTGCTCTTGGGCCCAGACTGTTTCTTGGCTGTCTCAAAGCTTGCACTGGCACAGGTAGTGAATGGGAACCCAAAGCGTGTGTTGTCATTAAAGACATAGCAACTGTGTTTTTCCAAAGAGGTTGCTTGGGGTTGGTTTTCATTTTTAATGCAGTCTTCTGAGTCTTTTCTTGTTATGACCTTCACAAAATCATTGCAATAACAGTATTCAATCTCAGTTTGCATCAATGCAAATATACTGAAGGAAGGTTTCGCAAAATGCTGTTGCCTTTATGTAAAGCTGTTTTCCATTTTTGTTTAAGTTATTGTGTCTGCTTTTTTTGAATTTTGAATAACTTTTAGATCTAGGTTTACTTCAGTATTTTGGTGCAGTTACTATTTCATTACAAATATATATATATTTTTAGTTTACTCTTCCAGGTAAAACTTATGTAAGGGGGTGACATTTTCTGAGTAGAAAGTTACACTATCCCACCAATATTAGAAGAATCCAAGTTGGACATATTATATTGGGCCTACCTTCTCTTAATGGTGTCTACAAGGGAGCAGTAAAGAGTTATCTTCTACTGGAGTATTATATACTATGCAAGGATTACTTTCTTTTTTCCTCGAAAGGGTATTGAATCAGTTGAACTGCAGAATTCTAGCTTCATGGTTGATTTAGGTGGCAAAAAGACCCAGAGTCGCACTGAGCTTTTAAAAGGCAGAATATATTGAAGAAAAGTGCTAAATAATTTTAAATTACAGAATTTTACTACTTCAGAAAAGAGCAGGTATTTCAAACTAATATTTGTATCAGTGTCATTTTGTCCATGTCTTAATTTAGGATTCCTGCAAGTTTTGAGAGACTTTAATTTTTTTTCGAGTGCTTTGGCCAATGATATAGGCTTATTCTGAAGAATCTTTATGCTTTTAATTTTTTTTAATACAACTTTTATTGAATGACTGTGTGAAATTTCTTTATGAAATGGATATCTGCATATTTTGAATTTAGGACTGAAAGTTCCCTGTGGAACTTTCGTATGACAAATTAATATCAATATTTAACTTTGTAAAATATGTGACTCTTGGCAGGAGATGGAAAAGTTTTGGCAAGTACACACTGAAAGATGGACTCAGTTTTTAATGTTTTCTTCCCTTGTGATTGCATTCTCCTACCTGTACTATTCTTTATTTTCCTTCTACTCTTTGTTCTTAAAAAAAAAATACACTATTCATTGAATAGTTAAGAAAAAAGTTAAAAGGAAAAATGTTGAAATGTATTCTTTTCTATAGCTATCCATCCTGTATCCCTACCCTTAGTGTGAGTTAGAGGATCTTCGCAAGCTTCTGTTTTTTTCTGATTCCTAAAAGGCACAGCCTGGAGTAAGGACATTTTTCATGCTGCTTCATGAGTTACCTATATTACACAAGAGAGAGGGAGACTCGTCAGTTTTATTCCCCAAACCATGGCACTGATTGTAGGTCCTCTCCAGTCCTGGAGAAGCCTTTTCTTCCTCCTCTGATCTATTTCTTTTCCATTTCCTCTCTTAGTTTCACTATTCCCTTTGTCTCCCTTTTGCATTGCTCTGTCGTGCACTGAAATTTACTTACTATATTTTTCAAGTAATCTTTTATGAGTCACTTAGAGTAATTATCTGCTGAGTGTTGTCTGGATACAGGCCTCAGGCTTCTGAGGTCTCCTGGGTCTTCCTGGCATTTCAAGCTAAGGATTATCATTTTGTTAAATCATGGTGTTTGGTGCTCCCTTCTGTTTTAGAAGGCATCCATTTCTACATCAGCTCTGGCTATTTTTGCGATGAAAGGGCTTAACAGTATTTAATGGACAGGCCAGAGCACCACTATTGAAAATCCAGGGTAGCCCGAGTCCACCGATTGCCTAGAATTAGTTTGCACTCCAGGCTCCTACAACTTCATGTGAAAGCCAGGAACTTTTAGGATTTTAGAAATTCTTCCTACCGCTTACTAGGCCAGCAAGGCTTAGGAGTGAAAAGCACATAAAAATGCTGCCTTCAGAAAAGCTGGATTCTGGGGACGGTAACATTCCCTTTTTAATCTGATTTAATACACTTGGTTTCTCTGCTTGTTGTAAGTAATATCCTTATAGAAGTTGTTTATCATGGCAATGAAACAGTTTCACTAGCATAGTGTAACTGTTCAATTCCTGTTGCTGTTTCAATTGCATTAATCATGCAAAAAAATCTTTTGTAGGATGCATTATTAAACTAAATAATGGTGTGTTTTGGCAAATTTAAAGTACCCCCTCTATTAAAGTGACCTATGTTAATTCTCTGGGAATCATGAGACGTGTGCTAGGTCTTCTGGATTTTTTTCAAGAAAGAAAATAAGGATTTCATCTATCTGATGATAAATATTTGCAGTTTTGCAATTACCACCATATGTGGTATCACAAATAAATAATGGCTCAAAGTCTTTTGCACGTATTTTTGTTACTGATGTAACTTCCTTTGTCTGTAATGAGAATTATTATTATTATTTTATTTGAGAATAACTAACTATTCTGTTGTGATCCAGCTGTGTCATTTAAGATTAATGCTTTAGAGGAAAGAGAAACTAAAGAAAACTCTTCTTTTGTGTAGAATTATAATTTATAAGAAGAAATATGTCCATATTTTATGAGGATTCCAAGAACATTGTCACATGTTTGTACCTAATGCTTGACATACCCAGTTTAAAACAGCAATTTTTGTTCAGAGTTCTTATTCTTCTTAAACTGATTTAGTTATACTGCTAACTTCCTCTAAATACATCTCTAAATATCTAACCAAATGACCTATTTCTGTAATTTTTTCAGCCCTTTAGCTTGCCACAGTATCTCATTTTTAATTCCAGTCACTATTCAGAGCTCACATGTCCCATTACAAAGGTGTGGTTTTAGTTGGATGATTGGCTTAAAACATTTTATGGCTTTATTTAAGTAAATCTTCTTCTGATTTTATTCTTGTTTCACATTTATCACTTGCCTAAATTGCCACAGTTCATTTTCTCTATAAGTAATTGAGTTCATATGTTGTTAAAAAATGTGTTACTGAGATGGACATATTGACATTGTAACTATATATGTCACAATCATTTTATCCCTAAACATTGTAAAAATGTAAAAAGTCTTACTGAGCTCAGTGAGGTTATTTGCATACAAAATTATTCATATGCCTATCTTCATATACCGATAGAGCCTATATATGGAGCATATGCTATGAAAAAATTTACCTATTTACAGGCGTAAAGCTGCTGATGTCCAAAACACACTAAATCGGGTGGGAGGGAAAATTTTGATCAGGAGAACTTGGCAAACATCCACTGTATCTGAAAACACCATAGAGTTTGCAATGTCAATATACTGCAAAGGAACGCTACGGGTTAAAATCCTTCCATTTTATTTCTAAAAGCCCCATATAAAGTATACTATACTCAGACTCAGTATTTCTGATCTACTGGTGTCTTGGTTCCACCATCTGCTTTTACGAAACTATTTTTACCTTAACAAGTATCAGTGGCTGCCATTGAGTGGCGCTTTGATGTGCAGTCAATCACAGACGAGAAAAAAATTGCACAATAGACCATAATTTCCTGCCTGATCGTAAGCTCAGCCTTGTGTGCTGGGAGGTTTCCTTCGAACTAATTGGCAAATGCACTGGCACAGGGAGTGATTGGCTGCAGCTGTGTGCCTGTTTTGTCAGAAAGACAGAAAGAAAGGAAATCTTGAGAAGTATTGGCGTGTTCGTGAAATTGAGATGGATCTTCTTCTGGGAATATTCATAGTTAGAATGAAGAACTTGGGTTTTTTCAGCAAAAAAGACTGCCTGTTCTTTCAGGCCTCAAAATAGGTTTTGAAAATGAGCAAATCCCATAGAAGACTATGTTGCTCTTTAGCATCATTCCTCCTGACAGCAGGAACAATGGAAACACAGCACATGGCGCAAAATAATAATACTGGCCTACCAGATTTTCTTCAGAGAGCTGAAAGACTTGGTCAGCACAATCAGCATTTAAACCAAACAAAGTTAAGATAGATTCTGCTGTTTCAAACTGTATTGCGCCTCACATGCCTCACAGAAATGGTGGTGCGTTTCTATCTTCCACCACCATCCATGGGTGTAAGGTGTGCAAAACGGGATTTTTGCAAGAGAATGTGTGGAACTGCTATGCAGATACATCTTGGTAGCAGTGTTTCCCATTCCCAAAGGTTAGATGCAGCCTGCACTTGCTGCCTCTCACTAAGCTTCAGCTTTTCCAATGTAAAGCAGAAAGTAGCCCATGTATAGAGAATTACATGTAATGAAACACAGATTTATTGTTCTGCTTGTTCAGAAATTTTAACTTCATGCCTTGTTAGTCAGAATGAAAATTCTGAGCTTCTGTTTTTTGGGGGAAAAGTCTAAATTTTGATCTAAGAAAAATGAAAGGCATATTTTAACTTAAAAATTGTTTTAAATAAGCTTTCGCTTCAGCAAGAAGGAACTGATTCATCCTGTCATCATCAATTCAGCTGTTGTTTCACATTTTAATTTATGTGGATCTTGCTTTTGTCAAAGCAAATCTTTTAAATCCTTTTCTTTATCTGACATTCATTAAATGATACAAGCCTGCAAAATCTTTGACTTCAGTACATTACATTTGCCAAAGGAAATGTGCTCTTCCAGGGGAACTATGACCTGAACTAGATTCTGATATCTGAGATATTTTGATCTATCGTGGCGATAAGCTAAAACTTCAGATTATGAGGCCTCCTTTTTAATGGTGAAATTACTTTATATAGCTATCTTAGTCTTTAATAAAAAACCCTATAGTTTCTTAGCTTTCTAGTGAAATATACCTCGAAATTATAGGCCTGCAGGCCTTGATATATCTAACTTCATATCAGCTATTGACCTAGATCTGACAGACAGAGACAGAAATCATTATGTCATCTTCCTCCAAGTTGCTGATGTATGGGATAGTAAAGGTAAATCCAGCAAAACAGATTGGTAGAGAATTGGTAAAGTGGCAAGAAACTTACACAGTAAATTTGTGGCACAGCATAGCTCCACATGGTCTTCACTATTTGGTGTGCATATCTATAATATATATACACACTCTATCCTTTGGCTCTGCTTAGTATTGATTTGAAAAAAACAACAAAACAGAAGCAAAGTTGATTGTACGGTATCTGAAATGTTTCCCAACTTTTATCCCATCGTATTCAGCTGATGTACTATATACATCACCATTTATCAATCTGAGGCCTCCTACTGTATTTTGGCATTTCATTATGATTTGGAGGTTTTAATTTTTCATATTTGTAATAGTATTTCAGTCATGTGCCCAGTAACCATATTCTGTGAACTGGAGTCCTTACTCTCATCCCATTCAGCAAGTTCATGTCTACGTCTGCTCAGTCAATAAGGATTTCACTCTGTACTGAAATAACAACATTCTGAATTGGAGATTTTGTACATACATATATATAATCTATATATATATATCTATGTACACACCCACTTTTAGACATCTAATATAATTAAGGGGTGATTGTAATGACTGTATTGCATATATTTCAAATAGGTCCAATTAATTTCTGTGTGTTCAAAGAATATACTGAATTCATAGCATTCTGGCGTGACACTGGGATATTCGAAATTGTGTTTCTTTTTTCCAGCTAACTAGCAGTTTTACAGTAGAAATGATAGACTATTTTTGGCAGTCAATTTGGGCCATATGTTTTTGCCTGGCTAAAGTGGCTGCTGGATATTTTTGTGTGTCAGGGACTTAGAGGTATTTAACGTGGGAGTGTTTGTTATTTGGGTGTGAGATAGATAGCAAAAGTAAATGTTAAAAAAAAACAACAAAGGGGGGGAAGAGCTTTGAAAAACTGAAGAGGGAGAAAATTATCTTTGAAATATAGTAAATCTTCAAGCTTAGCTACAGGAATGTCTTTTAACTAATTCAGAAGAAAAGTTGGGCACACATTTCTATTACACAATTGCAAATTTCTTTGGCAACCCATCTCTTTTGATTTAAGGGGTTACATTTTACTGTCAGAGGAGCAAACAGCTAAGAGTTTTACTAAAGCTAGTGTAATTATTTAGGATCTTTAACTAGTCTTTACATTACGTCTTTAACAGATGTAATTTTGCCAAAAGAATTTAACGTGGACCTGTCAGGGTAAATTCCAAGTTGCTACAGAAGTGCTGTATGTTTTGGAACAAAAAGTGTTTTTCAAATGTTAAAAGGCAGGGACATTTTAAAATTGTTTCAAGACTGTCATGTCTTTCTGAAAAGTTTGGAGCTGAAGCAGGCTGCCTGTGTGCAATGTGGGCAGTCCTTCTTCTTGCAGGCCAGGGATGCCTGTCAGGAGGCAGGAGGCATCGTAGTCCTGCCAGCCCCTGCACCGGTGGGAAGCCAAAGGCCGTGGAGCCAGAGGCTCAGTCCCACACAGAGGTGAAGCGCCCAGCAAGGCCTGAGAGTCCGGGTTTAACCACATTTACTGCTGCATTACCGATTTCTGTCGGTGAGGCGGCAGGAGGAGGAGGAGGCCAGCTGTGCTGGCACCGGCAGGGTGGAGTGCCATTCACACGACCCGCCTGGGCCAAATTGCATCTTGATTAAGGAACAGGAGCCTGGTTCCCAGCAGCAGCACTCTGCCCCCCCCCGCCCCCCACACGCACGCACACACGCATGCGCACGCGCGCCATTTTAGAGCATGTTTTGAGACTCTCACATTTGCCGTGGCTGAAGAGATGTTACATTTCCTCTTACACTGCACTGACCAGGGCAGAGCGGCGGTTGGGGCCGGGGCTGGAGCTGGGGCCTGGCAGGCAGGAGTGCAGCCCCACAACGGGGTGGGCGAGGCTGGGCACGTGGTGAGGGACAGAGTTCCACTGCCAGATCAATACAAGGTGAAAAGTCAGGTCACATCCATGCGAGAAGCCCAGGCAGGAACAGCAACAGGCTGGCCTCGGCAAGGGCCTGGCCTCGGCAAGGGCCCTGCTGTGGCGTCGCTGAGGCAGGGGCTGACAGACCCGGGGGGCTGACAGAGGGCCCTGGGCCTTGGGCAGAGTGGGGAGCCACCCGGGGAAGCCAGGCGGGGACAGTCAGGGCTGGTGGTGCCCCCAGTGCCCTGATAGTGTTTTTTCAGGCCATTCTGCAGAGCAATCGTCCTCCTAAGTCTGCTCTGCTATTGCAGTAATTTTACTGTTGAGAAGATGGGTCTCAGGGAGGAGAGATCATGCCCACAGTTCAAAAGAAAAGCAAAGCATCAGGAAGCAGGGTGAGGTTAGCGTTTAAAGGTGAAGGGCAGGGATATGCCTATCCCAGAACATCAAAGCTCTTTTTTGTGCTAGTAGAGAACTATTTATCAGTAAAACGGGTAAATTGGAAAGATGCTCAAGGAAAAGAGGCTGAGGCATGTAGCCTTAAAATTGAGTGCTCAGTCATGAAATATAATTTCATTTGCGCATCGTGTGTTTTAAAACAAATCAGAACGTGATTGTAATGATACTGGGATCCCCAGACGTGGAATGAGTAAAAGCAAAGAAACCTAGAGATTCGAAAACTAGCATAGACCTGTAAACACCAAGGAAATAAGCTCTATTATGTTTCTGTTCTCCAAAGCAGCTGGCTTCATCCCTTCCCTTCAAGCAATGCACATGGCTATACTGCATACAGCCATGTACTGGGCTAACACTGTCCTGGACTATAACAATGTTCATTCCCTTGAGTTTTGGCTTGTTTTTATTTATAGTAGCTCTTGTAGAAATTAAACAAAGTGAAAACAAAGATTTCCATGTTGGTAGGTGGGTGGGTAGGTATGTTTTCTCTGAGACTTCTGGGTTTTTTGTATGTGGAACTAATCTGTTTCTATATAGCCATTCCAATGGTGTAGATACCATTTTTATCCATATTATAATATGCATTGTATAAATTTTTATACTCGTTTGTCCTATACTGAACGACTAACAAACTTAATGAGGTTAGAAAGCTCCTTCCTTAGTGAAGTGTGACAGCTGCCTTTTTTATCATACATCTATTTATTATACAGAGTGGATCTTCAGCTGTCCACCAAAGCTTCTAGTATTTAGCAGAATGTAGATACCATAAGAACAATGTGTTAATTTTCCTGGGGAACTGCAAATGAGCATAACTGTTAAAATAGTGGAATCTCACTATTGCAGCCCTCACCTTGCAGTCCCCTTTACTGCCTTAAAGCTATTGCAATAGTCCTACTTGAGGTTTTCTGACCCTTTCATGAATTTAATTGAACTCATGCAGTCTTTGCAAAAATACTGGCCCATTCTTTCACAGGACAGGGGTAATTTAAAAGCTGCAAGAGTATACATTTTTTAAAAAATGTAATACTTCTTATTAATATGGAAAGCTGTAGCATATAGCTGGAAATATGTAGAGTTTAAAGACTCTTATCCGTATCCAAGCACATTAAAGAACAGTATGTGTCTATTTAAAATGAAACATGAATTTAGCTTGATTCTGTATCAAGGAAGTTCATGGCAGCTTTGTGCTGACATAAGCAGCCAGTAAATCAGGACAAAAATAGCTAGGAAAATAGCATTTTTAAGAGACTTTTTAAGGAAATGCCAACATAATTGTAGTGTTAGGTTAGCTAGCTATGCATTCCTCCAACTTTAAAGAGAATTTGGGTATAGTAAAACTGAGTGAATTATTCACAGGAAATAATTCACTGGACAAATTTAGCTTGTCTCTTGGATTAAGAGGCATACTTCCTAGAACAAAATTAGGTTACTGTGAGAATTGCTGAGTTTAAAATTTGCCTCACTGCAATACAAGAAAGCAACTGCATGTGCATGCATAGTTCTGAAGGAAAAAAAGAGTACTGCTGAGCTGTTGTCTTTTTTATTTGCCTCTATTCTTGGTTTGGATTACTTGGTAGTGAAGAAGAGTCAGGAGGAAACTGTTAACCTGCCTACTTGCTAGATTTTACTCAGTGTTACATTCTATGGAGTACATGTATGGAAATACAAACCCAGGGCATCTACAAAAGAGCTGCCATAGTTGTTCAGAACAAGAGTCTGTTTAACCCCATGTATTATTATCTCCAACACTGACTGTAAACAGAGAGACCCTTCTGAAGAAAGACAATAGCGCAAGCATAGATGATATTTCTCCCTGATGTTCTCACAGCTATTTTTAACTCAAATGACAGGAGCTCTAAAACATATTTTCCTAAGAATGGGAAAAATATCTTGTGACGATATCTGTTACTTTTTATTGTCCTTGCAGTGATACGTTCCTCTTTGGCTCAGAACATGACTGGAAGACATAGCGCTTCTAAGCTCAAAACCTACATATAAACTATTTATTTCTTACTAGTATATATTATCCCCTCTTTTTCAGTAGAAAGATTACTGAGCTGCCTAGGCAGTAACTGCCAGTTTCTTTTCTGCCCTTGAGCCGAAGTTACACAACCTGCATCTACCACTTCTCTGGCAGAGTTTTCTGGAGGGTTTGTTGCAAATAGCGTAAGCAAACACCTCATTTTTGTCTGTTTTGAACCTAGCTCCTACAAGGCTAATATGATGCCCCCTAAACGTTGCAATGGAAGTGAGTGCCCAATCCCGACTCACCCTTTCCATGATGCTCATGACTTTGTAGAAAACTATCATCAGGTACAAATGTAGCATTTATGAATACTGCTGTATTGCTTTCCATAAACGGTTGTTTGAATAAAAGTCAATCATGATTTTTATTTAAAAAGGAAATAAAACAATCAAATATCTCAATCTTAAAATTTGAGTTAATAATCAAGACATAAAAATGTCTCGTTTTTTAATGATATTAATTTAGTGTTAGCTAGAACTAATTTTTTTATGATATTTTTTATGATGTTCATTTAGTGTTAGCTAGAACTAAAGATGTTTCCATGAGAGAGTTTATTCCTTGCTAAGGAGAGAAATAACCTCACCAAGGATGGAGTTTTATAGACATTGTTTATGTTAGATTACTATATTGCTCTCTATGTGTGACTACATCATAAAATCATTTGTTAGGTGAAGATAATTTGCAAATGATCAGAAGGAACCAAATTACTCTAGCTTAATGAGTTGCCACTTATTGCCTGTGTAGGCTCTTTTTCTGCTGTGGCTGTGAAGTTGGCTTACATTAAAGTGCATTAATTTTATTTCACAAATGCAGTGATCGAGGAGGCCTAATGCTGCCAGTTATTATGGCTCAGCAGTGAGTGGCAACTCATTAAGTCATGGTTAACTTTGTTGCATAAACCGGTCAGTCTGGACCTGGTGCAAAATATTCAGCAGGCCATTTTGCCAGGAAAACATCATATCAATGCATCAATATCTGCAACAGCAACCCGCTCATCTCAAGGTAGTGTTTAAGGTGTTGATTTTCAGCCATACAGCCGGAAATGTGTGAAATCATTATCTCCGAGACACTATCTCACTCCTTATGTAGACAGCAGAGGTTCTGTGGTTAGATTTCCCTCTTTATAGAAGGGAATTGTTGGCAGATGTTCAGTGCAAGGGCATCAAGATTCAGGATCTTGCTGTCTCAACTTGGCTCCAGTTTGTCAGAATTTGGCAACTTTTTGATGAAAAGACATCTGTTTGAGAGTTTTCTTGGAGAGAACTGAGGATATTTTTGCTAACTGATGAAAGGGCTACATGAATTCCTGTGGGACTGGTTATTCTAATGCTGATGAGATTTTATTTTATCCCATATATATGTCAAGAAAAAAATCATGCAAGCCAGTTGGCCAGAGCTTTGTGACGGTGACAGCAGCCTCCAAAGCAGGACTTGATGTAGTGGAAGCAGGGTAGAAATTAAAATGCAACTGACTGAACTGGCCTGCTCTCCAGCGCTCCTGGGCGCAAAAAGTGTTGGGAAGATCTCCTATTCTAATGCAGAACCTAGATACACAAACCTGTGAAGAAAAAGACTGCAAACAGTTCCAGGCTGCTGGAGTTGCTGTGGAAAGACACTTCAAAGAACTTTGCACAAAGTTATTTAACCATTTAACTGGACTTTCAGTAACACATGCTGACTGCTGTTTAATAAAAGCCTGCCACAGCTCTGAGCTATTCCTTTACAGTCCTGACCTCAGCTTGCATAATCTCCCCCACTCATCTTTTTCTTTCAATTTTTTGTTCCTCTTTAATATTTTGCTTTACTTCTTTCCTTTTTGCAATTCCCTTGACACGCTGAAATCCGGGAAATAACAATCAAAAGTTGTGGAACAAGATTTACTGCCGTCACATTATATTGTGTTCTGCTGCTAGTTTGTCACACTATGTATATCCTACAGTTGCATTTCTACAGTTTAGGTTGTAGAAATTCCAGGCAGCAACTGACATGCACTCAGCGTTTATGAAGTGCCTGCAGATGTATCTTATGTTCATTAAATATAAAGATTAAAATAATAGAACAGTATCTTGCTGTATGATTGAGGATGCAAGAGCCCCAAGCATCTGAATTTTTTTTTTTATTTATTGAAATAAAAATGATACTTAGAACAGCTGC